TACTACTACTACTACTACTACTACTACTACTACTACTACTACTACTACTACTACTACTACTACTACTACTACTACTACTACTACTACTACTACTACTACTACGACTACTACTACTACTACTACTACTACTACTACTACTACTACTACTACTACTACTACTACTACTACTACTACTACTACTACTACTACTACTACTACTACTACTACTACTACTACTACTACTACTACTACTACTACTACTACTACTACTACTACTACTACTACTACTACTACTACTACTACTACTACTACTACTACTACTACTACTACTACTACTACTACTACTACTACTACTACTGGTTTACAATTTGTATCACAATTATTTGTGGGTTCAGCAATAAAGGATGTGACTACTACTACTACTACTACTACTACTACTACTACTACTACTACTACTACTACTACTACTACTACTACTACTACTACTACTACTACTACTACTACTACTACTACTACTACTACTACTACTACTACTACTACTACTACTACTACTACTACTACTACTACTACTACTACTACTACTACTACTACTACTACTACTACTACTACTACTACTACTACTACTACTACTACTACTACTACTACTACTACTACTACTACTACTACTACTACTACTACTACTACTACTACTACTACTACTACTACTACTACTACTACTACTACTACTACTACTACTACTACTACTACTACTACTACTACTACTACTACTACTACTACTACTACTACTACTACTACTACTACTACTACTACTACTACTACTACTACTACTACTACTACTACTACTACTACTACTACTACTACTACTACTACTACTACTACTACTACTACTACTACTACTACTACTACTACTACTACTACTACTACTACTACTACTACTACTACTACTACTACTACTACTACTACTACTACTACTACTACTACTACTACTACTACTACTACTACTACTACTACTACTACTACTACTACTACTACTACTACTACTACTACTACTACTACTACTACTACTACTACTACTACTACTACTACTACTACTACTACTACTACTACTACTACTACTACTACTACTACTACTACTACTACTACTACTACTACTACTACTACTACTACTACTACTACTACTACTACTACTACTACTACTACTACTACTACTACTACTACTACTACTACTTGAGAACGGTTTTATTCACAACACCATGAAGTAAGAGTCAAAGCAAAAAGACAACCCAATTTCGGAATAAAATAGAACACTCAATTGAAATATAAAACTTTGAACTCAAAAGCCGAAATCATCACCTAATAACAATGCCTACGGGCATGCAAAGGCGAACGGTCAGAGCTCTGGCCGTGTCAGCAGAGCCGGCGGCAATAAGCTGCAAAGGGGCTCCCGACCCTGCGGCGAATGTAAGAGGCCCTGCAGCCCCTGAAGCACGTGACTGCCCATCGCAGCAGGCAAAATGAAACTCGGGTGCGTAACTCACCCATCACAGCAGAATATACCAAGTCTTTGTTTTTGTCTACAACAAGAGCAGCTAGCGACTTCAGAAATATAGAAGTTTCCTTGCCCGCCACACCCGCGGTCGAAAACACCAGTGGGGTGAATGATGCCCTCTCCACCTGGTTGACTCTGGCACCATACGCCGCCTTCTTCATTCTCTCATGTGTTCTCAGGTGGCTAAGGATTTCCGGACGAGACAGCAAGGACGGCCCAAGGTCAGTGACCCTTACATCAAAATAGGCGTCCTGCTGCCGCGACCAGAAACCCCTAGCCCGTATGTCCAGGCGTGCCTCTGGCTGACGGTTCGCGGAGACGGCAGAGATGTCCTCACCGTGTAGCGGGAGCAGATGTGGCTCAACCTCCACATCGGGTAGTACCTCCTGCAGCACTCCCGCCCGGAGGTCCCGAAGCTCGTTATGGCGAGCCGACGGATAGCCGCCGGTCGGGCACGTGAGGGCGTGGTGGGTGGTCATGGACTTCCCACAGACACAATGATCACTTACACCGTCCAGTGGGAGACCATATCGTATGCATAGCGCATCTCTAAAATCCGACTTTTTCAGCACGGTGCGGTTTGTCCAAGACGGCTGTGCTGTTAACCATGTTGAGACGCCTTTCTCATCCGCTACTGCGAGCAGCTGCCGCTGGACAGGTGAAAGCCCCTCAGCCAGCTCCGTCTGCATCTGCCGGCATCCACCGATTTTTTCATGGCGCTTTTGTCGGGCGATGCCTCGTGCCTCGCCAACGGCTTCTTGAACAGGATTGGCCATGCCCTCTGCGATGGCCACGATGCTCTGCGTGTTTTGGTCCGGACTGATGGCTGGAGAGTCTCGGACGCTCACGTTACGGTGGGCGTCGATCAGGTTCACCATTGACGCCGTGATGGCAAGTGATGCTTGATGGTCTGCCTCTGCAGACTTTGCTACCATCGGGATAGCCAGGCCCCCGAATCTTGTCGGGAGGGACAGAAGCTTTCTCAGCGAGCTGTCAGCTGCCATTCCCTGGCCCAAAAGGGCAGGAAGAAAATGATCATCCAATGCCTCATCTAGAGGGGCCAGGGTGACAGAGTTTATCGATGAGGCTCTCAAATGATAGGACCATTTGGACGATAAGCCCTTTGTTAGCACAGTGTAGGCGGCCTGGGGTTGCATTTCGGCCACTACTACTACTACTACTACTAGTACTACTACTACTACTACTACTACTACTACTACTACTACTACTACTACTACTACTACTACTACTACTACTACTACTACTACTACTACTACTACTACTACTACTACTACTACTACTACTACTACTACTACTACTACTACTACTACTACTACTACTACTACTACTACTACTACTACTACTACTACTACTACTACTACTACTACTACTACTACTACTACTACTACTACTACTACTACTACTACTACTACTACTACTACTACTACTACTACTACTACTACTACTACTACTACTACTACTACTACTACTACTACTACTACTACTACTACTACTACTACTACTACTACTACTACTACTACTACTACTACTACTACTACTACTACTACTACTACTACTACTACTACTACTACTACTACTACTACTACTACTACTACTACTACTACTACTACTACTACTACTACTACTACTACTACTACTACTACTACTACTACTACTACTACTACTACTACTACTACTACTACTACTACTACTACTACTACTACTACTACTACTACTACTACTACTACTACTACTACTACTACTACTACTACTACTACTACTACTACTACTACTACTACTACTACTACTACTACTACTACTACTACTACTACTACTACTACTACTACTACTACTACTACTACTACTACTACTACTACTACTACTACTACTACTACTACTACTACTACTACTACTACTACTACTACTACTACTACTACTACTACTACTACTACTACTACTACTACTACTACTACTACTACTACTACTACTACTACTACTACTACTACTACTACTACTACTACTACTACTACTACTACTACTACTACTACTACTACTACTACTACTACTACTACTACTACTACTACTACTACTACTACTACTACTACTACTACTACTACTACTACTACTACTACTACTACTACTACTACTACTACTACTACTACTACTACTACTACTACTACTACTACTACTACTACTACTACTACTACTACTACTACTACTACTACTACTACTACTACTACTACTACTACTACTACTACTACTACTACTACTACTACTACTACTACTACTACTACTACTACTACTACTACTACTACTACTACTACTACTACTACTACTACTACTACTACTACTACTACTACTACTACTACTACTACTACTACTACTACTACTACTACTACTACTACTACTACTACTACTACTACTACTACTACTACTACTACTACTACTACTACTACTACTACTACTACTACTACTACTACTACTACTACTACTACTACTACTACTACTACTACTACTACTACTACTACTACTACTACTACTACTACTACTACTACTACTACTACTACTACTACTACTACTACTACTACTACTACTACTACTACTACTACTACTACTACTACTACTACTACTACTACTACTACTACTACTACTACTACTACTACTACTACTACTACTACTACTACTACTACTACTACTACTACTACTACTACTACTACTACTACTACTACTACTACTACTACTACTACTACTACTACTACTACTACTACTACTACTACTACTACTACTACTACTACTACTACTACTACTACTACTACTACTACTACTACTACTACTACTACTACTACTACTACTACTACTACTACTACTACTACTACTACTACTACTACTACTACTACTACTACTACTACTACTACTACTACTACTACTACTACTACTACTACTACTACTACTACTACTACTACTACTACTACTACTACTACTACTACTACTACTACTACTACTACTACTACTACTACTACTACTACTACTACTACTACTACTACTACTACTACTACTACTACTACTACTACTACTACTACTACTACTACTACTACTACTACTACTACTACTACTACTACTACTACTACTACTACTACTACTACTACTACTACTACTACTACTACTACTACTACTACTACTACTACTACTACTACTACTACTACTACTACTACTACTACTACTACTACTACTACTACTACTACTACTGCTACTACTACTACTACTATTACTACTACTACTACTATGATTTTGCTTATGTGAACCAACCCTTAGTCCTAACTCCAGTTCATTGTGTTGCATGTACTGTTAACAGGTTGAAGATGGGATCTATTTTATTGCTTACTCTATGTGTGTTGGCTTCAATGCATATGCAAGCTGCTAAAATGGTAAAGTGTTAGAACAGCGAAAAATAATCATAGTACGCGCTCATTGGCTTCAATGCTGCACACAATAAATTGTGCTGAAGGTAAGACTTTGAAAACCTAACAGATATTCATTTTCATTTTCTATCCGTTGTATGGAAACTTGCAATGACAAATATTGTCATAATCTAATATTGACTGAGTACGTGGTCAATATAGGAAATAAAAGCCGAGTGAAAGAGTTTTTACGAGGTGTTTTTTTCTCCTATACTGACCAAGTACGAAATCAATATTAGATTTATCACGACAAACAGTCCGTGTTTCAAATTCCAGAACGATAACCTCATGAATGCCAGTCAATACTAAGGGAGTGATAATCTACAGTGCATTTCAAAACTATAGACGCGTAGGGTTTTTGAAATATTTCAAATTTGGCTGGAACTTTTTGAGAATAGTTTTCGGAATATTGCTCAGGATCGCTCCACAATTACTCTCATATAGTTTCTAAAGGATTGTCGCTCCACAATTACTCTCATATAGTTTCTAAAGGATTGGATAACAGACGCCCAATTTGGAAAAATTTATGCAAAGTGATCACGGATTTTACGTGGTATAGATGCTGGCATAACGGTTTTAGCCTAGGTACGCGTCTATAGTTTTGAAATGGACTATGTATTACATTACATTTCTGTAATTTTGGGTGCTTGGAATATTAACATGATCATCCTGTTGCCATTGTGTCCCATATTAGCTAAAGACTTAGTAGTGTAGAGGCGACGGTTTCAAATAGGACATAAGTTGCAAACCGGTATGGACTCAATAGTCACGTTCTCTCTTGGTAAATTGATTAGAAAACATATGTCACAGTGAGACGACGGCCAAAATTTCATGGCTATGCAATAACCAGAAATGCCATACCAAGCAGATGAGTTTTGACGTGTTGCTTCGCACCGCGACTTGAATTTTACGACTTTCGAAAAATCAATTTCTTGTCGAAGGTAAACAGCGGCTCGCCTCTCGCCAATAAATCACCGCATACCAATCAAAACTAATGGAAGCAGGCTTATTGTTACTCTGTACTGGCCGTTGTGGAGCGATAGCAATTATTATATATTTATTATTATTTAAATAACCTACGTGTAGCTAATCATTCTTATATAGCTATGAATAGGATGAAGGCCGCACACATCACGCAACTACGTTACTTGTTTGACATGAATTACTTTGGATTTTATAACAAAAGTATTATTGAAAACTAGAGGTGAAACAATTATACCGAGTACTCGAGTACTCGCTCGGTTTTTTCAAAAATAATCGTACTCGGAATAAATCAGAGTACTCGTTCATACATGGTGCATGCATTTATCACAGAAATCTGCAGTTTCAGAGCAGCAGTCGGAAGATATTGAGGTGCAGACTGTGTGGTGAACATTTGTTCACGAGTAGAGAGAGCCCGAATGACCCACGAACCGATATACCCGAGAAAAATGACTGCTACTCTTTTCAATCAGGGTTGTATCATGTGATTTTAAGGCCCTTGGTGTGCCATTTTCAGGGGATGAAGAATACTCGAACTCGGGATCTCAGTGCCAACTTTCACCCCTATTGAAAACCCAGAATCGATTTTATCGTTCCTATCATCAGTGGGAAAAAACGGAACTAAGGATACAACCAAAAGTTAAGTACTGTAAATAGAAAGGTGTTAGAAATAATATCAAGATACAAGTGCAATAAAACCACTAGAGGAAACGCAAAAAAGGTAACAAAATTACCTAAAATATTAACTGGTTTAAGGGAAAGAGACAAACGGGAAAAGATTACATAAGATTATTATTATTTATTCTTCTTTTGATAACCGCAATCAATAAAACTAGCTGAACCGACATTTGTAAATTTCACTGTTGTTGCTCTTAGTGTTATTTCTCTAACTTAGATTTTCTTTAATAGTTCAATTTTTGTTTCAGTGTCCTTTAGTACAACGACCATTCCTGATGAGCGTTGTACGAAAAATTGTTTGAATCCATATTTTTTTCCCTGCGCCATTTCTTCATATTTTCATCGTTTCATTGCACATCGCCTCCACCGTTTTTACATTGCATGAATAAAGTACACAGATGTCGGTTCAGCTAGTTTTATTGATTGCGGTTATCAAATTATTGTCTGCTCGCCGTGTTTTTAAATATTCTTCTTTTACTAGGGAATTCCCAACAGGCGTCAGCGCTATTTTACAGGGAACCCTAGGTATAATTTTATGGATGAGCGATATTCAGCTGGTGAACTAGACGCGCGGCAAGCCGGTGGAAGTGTTTTCCACCTGGTAGTTACCTAATTTCAGACCCAGAGTGACGTGCACTCTAAAACCTGTCCGGTTTGGAACCACAGCAGACTCATGACAACGGAGCGACACGCGATGCGACAGACGTGAAACCTGGTAAACCCTAAATCGCAGCCATATCGCACCCCACGCAACTGCCGCAACTGGGCCATTGCAGGCCATCGCAGAAGTTGAGTTTGGCTCAACTTTTGCGATGCGATGCGATGCGACAAGCGATTTGGTGTACGATTTTGACGATTTTGACCTTTTCTACAGCAAAGTTGTACAAAGGTGCAAGAGTTGCCTATAAATTCTTACAAGTTGTGTCAAACCGCTGACTTCTTCTGTGAATGGTATTTCGCGAGTTCGCATCGCACGCATCCATCGCAGATCGCGTGTCGCCTCGCAAAAAAGCTTCTTAGAATCCCGCTTAAAGAGGAAGGAGGTTTAGATAAAAAAAACAGGGCACAGCGGACTACAACCACCATGAGTACCAAACCCTAGAGGGTGAAGGAATCACGCTTTAAATTGACAACTTTCTCTTCATACTCGTGACGCTTAAAATCCTGGTTTTCGCTCAAAGTTGGCTCCTTCTATCCCTAGGTGGACTTCATCCACCCAATATGATGTTTGGTCCAGAAACCCTCCGTTCTTTAGATATCGACCCAAATGTGAACTGAACCACCTTCAAACAAGGTATAAGGAGGAGGGTTTACTGCTGCTCACAACAACGCAGTACAGCCAAACAAATTATGTTCTCTTACCGATCCACTTCACCTAGTAATGTTTAGCCATCCATATGAGCCGTCAGATGCGAAAAGGGTGCTTATGGCATATTTTGGTCAGATTGAGATAAGGACTCAGGCAAAATCTATAGGATTTTATGCTTCACCTCCAAAAAACTGGACTCAAAAATCCAAACCCATCATGGAGATATCGTCAATTTAGTATCGCGAATATTTGCCACTTTTACGGCCTAAGTTGCAGAAAAATTGCTCTCCTGGTTGGCCGGAAAAATCACGGAATAAAGCTGGTGGCCACAGTTCTTGGTAAGTAAGTGTAACTGAGGTGAACACATTGGCATCATTAAAGCAGCAGAAGTGACTAATCACAGTTTACCGTGGGCCAGAAACACCAGCTGGGTTACAATTGCAAAGTAAAATCAGCATTAAATATCACGCTCTATTTACAGCAAGAATTATTGTTGTTCCTCCTCACCAGCAAATGAATAGCTAAACGACTGCCACTGTCTTTTTTGCCCTTGGAGTTTACTTCAGCTGAATATCTTCCAATTTCAATAAGTCCCCGTAAGATTGCATTCTTTCTGCTCCTTCTCCTTCTCCATCTCCATAAAATTCAACCTGCTCTCCGCAATTCGAGCTGACGAAAATTGTTTGAGGCACTCATCTCGGCATCCACACGCAGGAATCGCTTGCACAGGAGCTGCTGTTGCTGCTGCTGTTGCCGCACCAGCCCACGCTTGCTCCTGGGAAGATCAGCCACCAAAAAAGATCTCCGTAATTTCAGCAACTGGTTCTGCATTGTCCTCTTCTTCATCAGAAATTGCATCGCTGTTTTCGGGTGCTGCACTTTCGCTCGGGTCAAATACCTCGTCTGGCTCGCACTCTGAGTGAGTCGCCAAAACCTTCAACATCCATGTCCTGAAGAACTTTGGCTAAAGCCTCATCCACAGTAAAGTAAGACTGCCTGCTCATCTTGAAATTTGTAATAGAACAGAGAAGTCAAGCAGGTCAGGAGACGAAAGAATTATTTCGTTCAAAATCAGAACGGAGCTCGCGCCAACAAAAAAAATGGCAGTTTCTTTTGTATGGAACTCCACCGTGCTTTGCCGTACCAGGCTGGTTGAAATATCTACGGAAAGCGGGGAGTCTCAGCAGTGCGCTAGTGTACATACCAGCGCTGTGGGATGCACACTCACACTGCAACGATCGAAAAATGACGTCACGTCAAGATTCACTCATGCACGTGACAGGTACATGACAGCCTGTCACTCTGACGCACTTTACTAGATTTGCTGTGTGATGCCATAAGCACCCTTTTCGCATCTGACGGCTCATATTTCGATTGGCGTCTTACTGAGTCTCTTGAAGAAATTTATCAATTCAGCCTGTCTACTGGCGGCCATTACGAAGGCCATTTACAAGGGCCAGTAGCAGCGGGTTACGTCCTGAAATTGGGGTAGACCATCATCATAGGCTGCTGCAACATGTCCCCAAGCGCCAATAAGTGGTCTTGAACAAAGTTATCCCCTAAATATCACTTGGGAGATATATTCAAATTTCGAACTCTCCAACGTCCATGCCCTAGCAGAATCCAACTTCGGGGCAGGATAACACACACGGAGCGCCTCCATATACCTTTTCCCTACGCTACCAGCACTTAGACATGATGGGAATGATCTCTGCCCTCACAGAAACTCAAATGAAGCCGTCGTTTGCTGAACAACAGCCCAACATGACGAGAAAGAAGAACTGCTCAACTGCAAACAAATAAACAGCAAGGGCTGCAACAGTAGCGCAAGATGGCCCAAAAAGTTTTCTTGTACAAGGCAGCCAGTGCCCCGAGTTTCACCTGTGCATCGATGCCTCGTCGCACCAGTGGAAAATCATGATGTAGCAGTCGGGCGCTTTAGATGCATTGCATTTGGAAAATCAAGAATCGAAAAATAAAAAGTTCTCTTTGGGCGACAGCCACAGCCCTACAAGTAGGTGCCTAAAAAGATGCACGATATATACAAGTATGTTATATCCGCGCATGCACCAGAAGTACATGGGCTCATGGCAACCTGAGAGAATTTTTGGACACGCATGTGAAACTCTGCCCAGCACAAGAGATAGTTCTGGCACAATCACGGCCATCTTGTACTACTGTTGCAGTCCTTGCTGATTTGTTGTTGTGGAATAGTTCTTCTTTCTCGTCATGGTGGGCTGTTGTTGAGCAAGTGACGCTTCGTATCCCAGTATCCAAGCAACATTACTAGAGTTTCTGGACCAAACTGTCATAGTGGGCAAACAAGGTCAACTCAGGTATAAAAGGAGCCAACTCCGTAATCGGTAATTTGGCCATGTCCGGGGATATTACTCGTTATAGACATTTACTGATTTAAATGATGATGGGTTGAAACCATTCGTCTAATAAATTTGGCAACAAGAGCTAAACGCCAGAATGTTACATACACAGTTCCAGTCATCAAAATGTGACGTCAAAGTTTGAGCTGGCTCCAAAAGATTCTTGTTCGATCGAGTGGATGTCCTTCTTGTCCAAGGAGTTTCTAGTGTCTTCAAGTGGGTTGGGTCAAGTTTAGCCTCAATGTACCTTACTAATAATTACTGATTTAGGTGATGATGCGTTGAAACCATTAGTCCTACAAATTTACATTGCCAAGTTTGTTATAATTATTGCGCTCTTTAGAGCAACTCGCACCATAATTTAGCATGTGTACGTTTCAATACCATTCTCCTGACGAAATGCTGTGTAAATTAACATTGTGCTTCGTCTCATTTTCAACCTCAAGATTAACCGATTTGAGAAATGATGAAGAAAGGAAAAGGACAAAATATTACGAGTTATGACAAACTGTCCACCAACGTAACCCGATCTTATACAGTCCTTTTCCTTTCTTCATCATAACTATATTGGCTCACCATGCGAGTTCAGATTTGAGAGATGATTATACAAAAGGACTCATCAGATTAACAACTCCCAACTCTCTTCGTATGCAAATATGTTTCCCTTTGTATAAGTCTTGAGTTCATTTCGGTCTCCATGGCAACTGACCTATATGGGTACACTTCCATTTGTTGTTTTCGTTGCAGAGCAATATTACTATGTTTGTGATAACAAAAGAGTGCTTTTTATGGACACGCGGGATAAACTGGTTTACGATAAAGCCAAGCACGCTTGCAATATTAGATTCGCCAGTTTACCTACCGACGCCGAGGAAACCTGCATGAAGGAGCTTGTCAACCGGATACCCAAATGGGAAGGACAACTATATTTCTGGGCTACTAGACTAGCTGATGGGAATCCGCTTGTCTTTAATAATCGTAGTTCGCTTGTTCCTGCGACCGCTACGCACAAATTTCATATAGCCTGCGTTGACAGGAGGGGTAAGTCGATTAAATATAATATGCACATATTATTTGAGTTTCTTTGTGCTGTGCTGAAGCCATTTATGCCACCATACGAGACAAGGTGAAATGCGTATGTCGAAACTTTGACGATCTGGATGTGTACAATTTCCATGTTTTCTTCGTATAGGTGCCAATAAAGCAGCGCAAGTGTGTGGCACGTGAACATAATTTTTCTAAGGTCAAGAAGAAGTACATGTACCAGGCAACTTGTGGATAATGTGCCTTCGTCGCGACATATTGACATCGTTTCAAATGTGATGGAAATCATATACAAAAATTAGCTACCCATAAAGGGTGCATGATCGTTTACATGTCAGGAAGCAACTCAGCAAATTACATATCTTCCTCGCCACTGTCGTTCCTGGAGGAACAGCTCAAACGTTCTATCTGCACAGCTGCTGCACGGTTCTTGTTCCACTTCTCCCCATCTCGAATCTCTCAAAGGCACAACCACCACAACAAACACAACCACAACAACAAACACAACCACCACAACAAACACAACCACCACAACAACAGGAGGCCATTGAAATGCCACTGCTGCAGCAGCAGCAACCACCACTTGCGGCAGGAGCGCCAACCCAAACAAATGTGTGTATTGCCTGCAAAGGCGGCCCACCTCCCCTTCTCAGGACATGTCGTGGATGTGCACTGCCATACCACCACATGTGCCAATCAATGGACGAAGACGAACAAACATTGTGTTACCAGTGTTATCTCGGTAGAACCTTGAAAGAGAAGGGGCAACCACCTGAACAAGAGCAGCAGCAGCAAGATCACTAACAGCTGATACCATTGCATGTACAGCAACAGCACCAGCTGGAGCAGCAACACGTGATACAACTCTACGTACAGCAACGGCAGCAGCACCAACAGCAGCAGCAGCAACAGCAGCAGAAAGCAGTAATAGTCGCGCCTACTAGTGCAGAAAACAAGAAGTGGCAAGACAGTGAAAGAGATGGAGCGCAGCAGCAGCGCTCGGACAAGAAGCATAATGCTATAAATCATGAATGAATATACCAGAAGTTCTGGCCGCATGGCATCAATGATATCAAGATTGAAGAATTACAAGCACACAATTTCCTGTGAGGTGTCATTGTGAACTGTCATATTCCTTGTGAGGAACTTCCGTGTAATGCCTTCAAGGCCACCATATTGCGCCATGCATTCATGGACATGGTGCAGAAAAATTCAGAACTGTTCAGCTGCATAGGACGAGTGACGGCTTGACTGAGAGCAAACAAAGCACTTCGCACTACAGTATCAATCCAAACACAGAGAGAAAACAGCACAAGAAAACGCAGCATCAATGTTCATTAAATGTTTTCTTACCCTACGCTACCAGCACTTAGACATGACGGGAATGATCTCTGCCCTCACAGAAACTCAAATGAAGCCGTCGTTTGCTGAACAATAGCCCAACATGACGAGAAAGAAGAACTGCTCAACGGCAAACAAATATACAGCAAGGGCTGCAACAGTAGCGCAAGATGGCCCAACATTTCTCTTGTACAAGGCAACCAGTGCACTCGAGTTTCACATGTGCATCGATGCATCGTCGCACTAGTGGAAAATCATGATGTAGCAGTCGGGCGCTTGAGGATATCAGATATGCATTGCAGATGGAAAACCAAGAATCGAAAAATGAAAAAAAGTTCTCTTTTGGGGGACAGCCATCGCCCTACAAGTAGGTACCTAAAAAGATGCACGATATATACAAGTATGTTATATCCGCGCATGCACCAGAAGTACATGGGCTCATGGCAACCTGAGAAGAATTTTGAATTTTTGGATGGGAGCGTGGGACGCATGTGAAACTCGCATTCACTATCTGCCCAGGACAAGAGATCGTTCTGGACCAATCTGGGCCATCTTGAACTACTGTTCCAGTCTTACCTGATTTGTTGTTGTGGAAAAGTTCTTCTTTCTCGTCATGGTGGGCTGTTGTTCAGCAAGTGACGCTTCGCATCCCAGTATCCAAGCAACATTACAAGAGGTTCTGGACCAAGCTGTCACAGTGGGCAAACAAGGTCCACTCAGGTATAAAATGAGCCAACTCGGTAATCAGTAATTTGGCCAGGCCGGGGATTATTACGTCCTATAAATTTGGCAACAAGAGCTAAAAGCCAGATAAGAAGGTAATATACACAGCTCCATATTAACCCTTTAAGAGCCGCCCCATACTTGAATGCAAAACTTCAAAAGATCCTAACTCAGTTCAATCTCGCTCAAATCCAGTGATCGAAATATCCAGGGCAAAGAGAAAACTCTCACCTGTCGGGAGAAACAATCCGCGAAGCGCTGCGAGCAACGGTTTCTTAGATAAATCACTCGTAATTTGAGCCGCGATTGCGGCAATTTCAACAGCGCGCAGTGCGACTTTAGTATTGAGAATTTTGAGACTTTTCGTCACGCTGGTTTACTCGAATTTGCACGGATTTCACTGTTGATATTGTCAAGAGTACACAGCGAAAAAATTGGAAATCCACGATCGAGTAAAATGAAATATCTGGAGCGGGACGCAATTGGACGCATTTGGGGCATTTTTCGTACTGTCGCTGCGATCTAACGCTGGATAGACGGTGTGCTGGCTATCATGATCGACCTCTTTCTCTTCCTCTCGCGGAGACCTTTCCAGGAAGCCCTAGATTGTGAGGATTGAGTGATTAGAACTGAAGCTATGATCCAAGGAACACGAAAAAATGCAGAATTTTGAAAATTTCCTGTGGCTCTTAAAGGGTTAAGAGTCATCAAAATGTGACGTCAAGTGAGTTGGGTCAAGTTTAGTCTCAAAGTACCACACTAAGAATTACTGATTTAATTAGTCCTACAAATTTGGCAACAAGAGCTAAAAGCCAGAAGGAACTAAACACAATTGCATATTTCAAGAGTCATTCTTAGTGTGGTACTTTGAGACTTGACTCTACCGCTCACCTAGCACTAAAATCAATTGACCCTACTCACTTGAGGACACTAGAAACTCCTTGGACAAGAAGGACATCCACTCGATCGGAAAAGAATCTTTTCGAGCCAGCTCAAACTTTGACGTCACATTTTGATAATTTATCTGAAGCACAGAAGTGAGGGTTTGGCTGAAAAGACCTCAGCTCTTAACATGTCTCCTGCCTGCCTCATCGCAGTATGTAAGAATACTCTAAAGCTGCTTTAAAAAGATTCTCTCGCAGGCGGCCAGCGAATGCCACCCAGAAGTGCTAGTGGGTTTTACATTGCAAAGTTTGTTTTAATTATTGCGCTGTTTGGAGCAACTCACACCAGGCATATAGATATGCTGTGTAAATTGACATTAGTGTGCTTCGTCTCATTTTCAACCTTAAAATTAACCGATTTGAGAAATGATGAAGAAAGGAAAAGGACAAAATGATACGAGTTATGACAAACTGTCCACCAACGTAACCCGATCTTATACAGTCCTGTTCCTTTCTTCATCATAATAATAAGACCTTATTCGATAAACGTCACAATCACGTCAACCGGGGTCCCGAGAACCAGGGAGTGGCAAGAGATCTGCGCTCAGTGCACAGTGGACTCTGTGTGCGAACGTAGGAGTAGATAAATACCGGTATTTTACTACTCGTTTGTACAAACTGGGCCGTTCTTGCCACTCGTTTCTCGTACGCGTGCCCTAGCTTATGACAAATCCCTAGAGGCGAGTCCAAAAGTCACGTTATAGAATAAGGTCTATATTGGCTCACCATCCGAGTTCAGATTTGTGAGATGATTATACAAAAGTACTCATCAGATTTACAACTCCCTTCGTCTCTTCGTATGCAAATATTTTTCCCTTTGTATAAGTCTTGAGTTTTTTTCTCAATGGCAACTGACCTATGGGTACACTTCCATTTTTTGGTTTCTCTGCAGGTGAATCTCACTATGTTTGTGATGCCAACAGAGTGCTTTTTATGCACACGCGGGATTTAGTGTCGTACGATAAAGCCACTAACTTTTGCAATATTAGAGGCGCCAGTTTACCTACCGTCAACGAGGAACCCTGCATGAGGGACCTTTCTTCCCAGTTATTTAAAACCGAAGGAGACCTATATTTCTGGACTACTAGACCAGCTGGTGGGAAGCCGTTTGCCTCTAATGGAGTTGATGTGCTTACTTATCTAAAGCCTACGAACAAATTTAATGTAGCCTGCGTTCAGAGGAGGAGTAAGTCTATTAAATAATTATAACATGCACATTTTTTTGGAGTTTCTTTGTGCTGTGCTGATAGGTCCACATTGGTCAGCAGGCTGCAGATTTCAGAGTCATTTCACACCCTTAGCATAAATTGTTATGTTGTAACGGTATTACCGTAAGGGGGGTAATACCTGATCTGGGTTCGACCTTTGGCAAGATGCTTGTGCAAGCTATTATTTCGCGCGATACAGCCATTTATGTCACCATACGAGAAAAATGAAATGCGTACCTACTATCCAATATTTGTCTCACGCTGCACAACTACAGATATTCGCAATAGTCACCGACTTGCACAGCGGCACAGCGCTTGGCCCATTTGGCAGCATCATCCCCATGTCGGAACTTTGACGGTCTGCATGTGTACAATTTCCATGTTTTCCGTGTATAAGTGCCAATTAATCAGCGTATGTGTGTGACTCGTGAACATTATTTTTCTAAGGTCAAGAAGGAGTACATGTACCAGGCAACTGGATACAAAATGTGCCTTCGTCGCGCCATATTGGCATCGTTTCAAATGTGATGGAAATCATATACAAAAATTAGCTGCTCGTAAAGGGTTGAGTTGAGCGAATATAACTTGTTCATTAGATTCATTTTGATTTTCTCTGTCCTATGCTGATGGGTCCTCAAAGGATGAAACAAGATGCTCTCTGCAGGTGTCGTAGTCAATGCCTGTAATAACCGAAATCACCGGACATTGCTAAATTTCGGATTTCGCTTAACCGTTTGCTCCGTTTATCCTTGATTGGAACTTATTCGCCGATTTAGTTGCCGATGGTTTAATCATGGCCAATGTCCAAGGACCAGACCATCTATGTTCCCACACCAATCCAAGTTACCTACTTGATCCGCGCAGGCACAATTGGGGCTTATCTTCACACTTGTCTCAGGAAGAACTCAAATGCGCATGATCATTTACATGTCAGGAAGCAACTCAGCCGAAGATTCAAGCAAGTTACATAATATCTTCTTCGCCACTGTCGTTCCTGGAGGAACAGCTCAAACGTTCGATCTGCACAGTTGCTGCACGTTTCTTGTTCCACTTCTCCCCATCTCGAATCTCTCTCAAAGACTGTGCGTGTCTGTAAAAATAACGCCTTTGTTTGAGACAAAAAGGCATCGACACATCAGCGGTGTCCTTTTTCAAATCGCAACTTGCACTTGTCGTATTTGCTGATCCTCACCCAAGTGAACCGCTGGTGCTTATACATGCTGCACAGTGATAGCATCCGCTTTTTGTAGCACCTGTGCATACTGCACTTAAGTCCTAATGCCTTGCACCAGTCTTTTAGGCTAGTTTCCTGAAAGTCCTTTGCACGAGAGTATCCCTCAAGACTTGGTGCTTATTTTGAGCAGCTACTTTGACCTGTCCTCTGTGAGCTTCATGGTATCATGATGATGTAGCCAAATCAGCAAGATGTTGTCGCATCACTGACTTCTTCTGTGAATGGTATTTTGCGAGTTCGCATCGCGTGTCGCATCGCAAAAAAAGCTTCTGTGAATCCCGCTTGAATCGGTGGTTCCATGCCGTATGACATAGGCGGAACACCGAAAAATCATGTGCGTATATATTATAGAGCCAATTATAACTTGACGGTAACGACCCAATACCACCCGACATGGCCAAATTTCCGATTTCGCTAAAAGTTGGCGCCTACTGTCCCTACGGTCTGTTTCAAAAAGAATAGCAATCAAGTTTGACGATAAGGGAAATTTGGACAAAAAGTACATACAATGGCTTGTTAGGGCACGGCAAATTGTTCTGTGAAGGTTTCGGAACAATTGGACCAACCGTTAAGGAGTTAAAATTTCGGCCAGGTTTAAATTACTCTGGAAGCCAGTATCGATTTGTGATCAAAACCTCCGATTTATCCCTTCCTTTTTGGCCTTTTGGTTATGAATGCTGTCTGCTGACCATGAAGTAGTTGTGAGTTCAAATCCCAACAAAGTAAAACATTTTTCTTCATTGTTTTGGTGATCACGCTTGTACAAGACAAAGAAGGTGGCTGCCCCAAACGACTTGTTGTTGGAGCTTGCGTTTCCTGCCGAACCGACTGGCACTTGACTGGCTCACGCCATGTGAAGTTGTCAATACACACAACACTGAAACCGCTTGAGTGAACACGGACGTCATTGCGCTGTAGCTACGTGTTGTTGAATACACCCGAACATCGATCGATCGATTTCTATCAGCTTTCACAGGCGTCTGCATTTCTCAAAATGTCGTCGAAGTCACACGGATTGGTTTGCGACATCAAGGCTTTGGGAACGAGTCTGTGTCGATGCCGTTTTCGGCACATCGTGAGAGTAAATTGCATCCGCGGCAGCTCAAAGAATCAATTTGGTCACAAAACGAATTGGGACGCATCCCGCTCGTCAAAATTTATCACACTTTTGACACGTCCTCGACCAGCTCCTCTCTGACTCCATATCGATACGAGGAAGAACTCGTTTGTTGTTAACCAGACGAACATGTACGAGTAGTAGTAGCCGACGTCAGTGAGTTGTCATTTTTCATTCTTTCGCGCGGAATATTTCTTCGAGTTCACAGTGAGTTTTTCCAGGCAGCGCTTGAGCGCTCATACGGTAAGACGGCAAACTCCCTGTTGATCTTGTTGAAACTGACTATAGGTGAGCCTCATTCACTGAGTCTTGGGAAGATGCATTGAACCAACGACACAACAAGAGCACAGTAATTTAAGTTATAATTCATACATTTACATTTTAATGGAAACCTGACCGGTTTCTGCAATTATAATGCTTCATCAGAGGATGAAGAATGAGGTAGAAAACACTAGTTTATATACACGGTAGGCATGGATTGGCATACTAGTAGTGTAAAGTGGAGAAGGTTGCTAGTCATGTTGCGCTATGCACCAGGAGCTGGGCGTGTAGCAATGCAGTAAAATAATTGTCTTGGCGCAAATGTGGCTAATACGCATGGGTGACGTGAAGCTTAGGAAATAGCTAGGTGAAAAGTTGTAAAGCTGTACAAAAGTAAATGAACCATAGGGTTGAACTAGGTGAAAGTTGTAGGTTTGTACTGATGTTTTTTGGTTGGTTCCAGAAATTTCTAGAACCAACCAGAACTCATTTGTTGTAAACCAGCCGACGTCAGTGAGTTGTCATTTTTCATTCTTTCGCGCGGAATATTTCTTCGAGTTCATAGTGAGTGTTTCCAGGCAGCGCTTGAGCGCTCATACGGTAAGACGGCAAACTCCAAGGTGATCTTTTTGAAACTGACTATAGGTGAGCCTCATTCACTGAGTCTTAAGGCAAGTGCTGGCGAGGTAATTTTATGAGGGTGTCTGCATTTTCCACGATTTTATGGCCTGTGAGGCCGTCGACAAACATCACAGTATTGACCTTCAGCCTCCTCAATTCAGCCTCCACAGTAGCTCTGGAGGCTCACATTCTGAGCCGCCTGGCGGTGCGGAGTTATCCATGATAGGCAGGTAAATATGAGACAGAATATCAATTGATATAATAATATATCAATTGATATTCTGCATATTATGCCTCGAGGGGTGGGGGGGGGGGGGGGAGAGGAGTAGTCACGACACTCAGAGCTTCAAAACTTGCTTCTTACTCTTGGCGAGTTTTTGACAGGATGCCAAGAAAAGTACCTTTTGGCAAGATACGTTCACACCATCACGCAGTATTCTTATCTGTACATGGAAGCAACAATACCCGACCCAACATAAACAGAAGAAAACATGAAATACTTGAAACACTCATCAAGCCTCTTTTTGCCCTTTTTACCTGTGTTGTTAGTTTGTCTACGGCCTAAGGATCCAGCTCATGGGTCTTACAGCAACGGTGTATTCCTTCAACAAGAATTGCTTGATACGCTGACTTTGACATGTAAACCGGGATATGAGGTTCAAGGTAACCCGAAGGTGACTTGCATCACAGCACCTTCCACTACTAGCCCACTACCTACATGCGGTGAGCTTCCTTGTGTGGTCTTCAGAATGCAAAATCATTTTTACAATAGCGTGTTACAACAGTTTGCCCATGAGCTTGTTCCCAGCAACTGACTGGTTTGGGTGCATGTGTGGCTCCAACCCTTTGGGGGTGATTTTTTTTCTTCATAAACCCCCTCCTTTTTGTGGATGAGTGTGCTCTATATCATCCTATGTTACTCCAAAAAAAATTCAGGGGGTGTTTCCGCGGAGATAAGGCTGTTTGAGGTGTATTTCTAGGGGTGTGTGTATTTATCGATTTCGGCCTAAATTTGCTTGTTTTGTGGTCATATTTCAGATTTACCAGTTGTCTGGCTTCTCTTTGTGATTGCAAGTCCTTTCACACATCACAGTGAAGCATTTGAGCAAGAAAATCTGGCAATCAGCATTGACTACTCAGAAAAATAGTAATTTTGGTACAAAAATGAACTTCGCAGAAATGCCCGTCCGCAAAGTACAATTGGGCGCACAGCTTCATATTTTCTTCATGGACATTCCCTTTTTATTTTATTTTTGGGATCCTCATACTTCATAGAAACTAGAAATATATAATTTTAGGGGGGCTACCGTGTATTTTAGACCTCCACAAATAAAAATAGGACAGAAAATTGGCCGATTTTCCACCATTCTTGGAATTGCTATTTTTCAGGTCAGGTGATCATTCTATGCATTCCTTGTGGTATTACTCCAATTTTTTGTGTCAAAAGCATTGAATGGTCCCCCAGATTGTTAAAGTATACATGGAGACTAGATGAGGCCATTGTTCCTGGGCTTTTCAGTGCACATGCTCACAAACAAGTACCTCTTGCACACACAAATACATGTACGTCATATACGCGCACCCCCAATAGCATACACCCACATGCAAAATGCATGGTCTTGAGCTTAGTTACCATATTCAGTATTCTGCTGTCCATGCACTTGTGCACACGTGCGCCCGCGCACACACACAACATGCACTGGGCGTGCGCGCGCGCGCACACACACACACACACACACACACACACACACACAAACACACACACAAACACACACACACACACACACACAACATGTAGGCTCACACGCGAGCCTGCGTATGTGCATGCACATAGTGCTTATAGGTACAGGTGCATGCATTCATCATAATAGTGCGAGTAGTGTAGGAATATTTTCAAATCACTGGTGCTGTACAACACAGCATTTACAAAATACTTCACACTCTGACCATAGACCATAGTACTGCAAAACAACATACTCAATTTTCAGTGCTGCATTTTATTCAAGTGGACGCAGGTGATGACTTACTGCTAGCTACAGCTTTCGTAAATAGCCCAAGTCACTGAGCAGTAGCTCACCAACGATTTACCACTCACTCAAGACTGCAATGTTTTCAGCGTAGCAATATATTTCGCCACTTGAGAATTAGAAGTGGATCCACTTACCAGAGTCTGTGCACCCACTTCAATCTTTCTCTCCAAAACGCGCTTACAGTAGGTTTTGGTCCCTGGTGTTACACAGCCATTGAGACGCTTGGCTCCGTTGTCCTTGGTCATTTTTTCGTCAAGCAAAATTGTTCAGGATCTCGAGCTGTGAAGACAACTTCTTGCTCACACCGGCGATGCTTTTGAAAACATGCCCTGATACCCACTGACACAATGGAAGAAAAAACAACAGGAACCTCGATGGGGCCCAGGGAAGACTACAGGTGAAGAATGAAACAATATTCTCTGATAAGACTGTCGATCGCGGAGTTCAAATTTTAGTAAATTGAGATGGGAATTTCACAACTTTTCGCACTTATCGGCAAAAACAAGACTTTTGCCTGCAAAAAACAGAGCGCCAGACCGGCTGCGCAGCGCAGAAGGTTGGAGCCTCCTTAATTTCATTGTTTGTGAAATTACAATCGGACGTGTTTCAAATAGACCTCATCGGCATTCCATTTGTAACCATCCGCCTCGGTGTGGATAGAGCTAAAGAATATTCACTGAGACCTTAGTGGTCGAAACAGCGTGAAAATCGGCTTTCGGTATGAACGTCCATTCAAACACGACTTCGCCCCGAGGAGTGTATTATCAGTTTAAACGCGAGTATGAACATTGAAGCAATTCCACCTCCTCCATTTGCGCTCTCTGACAGATATCATTTCCTCCAGGCAGCGTTGTTTGGATCACTAAGGTCTGATCAGTGGAGGTTGAGAATAAATAATGACTAGCATTAATTTGAAGTCACATATATATACATAGAATGAAGAGAAGAATTGTGATCCCGCGCAAGTACGCAAGACGCCCCTGGGGCATTTACTCCGTCAACTCGCTCATCACCATACAGAACTGTCATCGCATGATCTGGTGAAAATTCAGCTCTTGTCTCCATTGTATAATTACCGTTCTCATATATGCTGTCACCCTTTGAGTACATGAAACACCAGTATGTAAGCTGAGAAGAAGTAGCGACGACCCGGCCATTATAGAATCCAATACACCACACCACTACATTGCGCTCTTGGCCGATCCAAACTCTGCACTCACATCACCACAGCGAGGACAATTCCGGTGTATAAATTGATATTAACAATGAGCCTCTAGACAGCTGTTTCCCTCCTCCTGAGCTCATGAGTGGAGGCATGATGTTGACTGAAAGCATAATAGGAATAGACTAATCTTTACACGGCTACATTGGCTCAATTGCACAATTGCGCTCATTCGGCAAAGAAACGTGGCATACCCTAGTGACAAGTGATAAAACGGTCAGGTGATAACGACACGCGCTCATGGCTGGGACAGGAACATGTAGCATTTGTGAAAAGTTAAAATAAATCCAACCAACCAACCAAAAAGGGTGGAGGGGGCGCAAAAAACAGCAGAAAAGTTAGGGTGCGTTCTTATATTCTCTAGCTTCTAGAAGAAGAAAAGAGAAGTCGAAGAAACTGGGATTATTCAAGAATGGGTCTCGAAGAATTCGGAGATATTTTGCACAAAGTGAAGCGCCAAAGAGGCCGCGATCTTGAGTGATGAATCTATGTGCCTATGCGAAAAGGGAAATGCGTACACTCATGATGAACACGTGGCCTTTAGTGGTAGTCCGCATGCGCTGATCCCAAAACGCGGGAATCTCCAAGTTTCAACCACCTCTGAAGCTTGGAGAGCTTGGAGAGCTTTGGAGAGCTTCGGAGAGGATATAAGAACAGCTCGACAGACGAACTATTCTATTATTTCCTGGGGCTATTATTTGAATGCCACAACTATCAGGGCTAATTTTTTGGTCTTCATGAAAAACTGGTATTGTGAACTTGGTTCCGCTTCTTTCAAGGAGACATAATTGAAAAGAAGTCCCGAAAAACGAGAAATTAGGTCCGAAAGTCACCCCGTCACGGACCGTGCCTTATGACGCGCGCCGTTCGACATTGAACGTCGCAACGACTGCTGCATGTCGTGTCGTACGAATCTTACAGGATTTTACAGCTCACCCCAGCCCTCCCGACAACCCTTACGTCCCGTACCGTCGGCGTTGCGTCGAATGTGAACTAGGCTTAAGACGCACTCGATCGTAAGTCGTAAGTCACACTCGATCGTAAGGCTGTGTTTACATGAGAAATTTCAACCCGGGTCGAGTTCAGCCCGGGTTGAAAGTCTGTACGATAGACAAAAGAGGTGAGCGTTTACATGAAGACAGTTGACCCGGGTCAAATACTGATATGCCGCCAAAAGTCCACTTCTACAGTCCTGTATGGTCACGTGAATCCGTTCGCGCGAAATTTGCATCTGCAGTGCTGTTCAAACCTGGCGCGAGATACGCACAGAAGTACGTTTGTACGATTTTCTTGACCCGGGTTGATTTCAACCCTCCCCTTGGGGGGAGGGTTGAAATCAACCAGGGGCGAAATTTCAACCCGGGTCAAGCGCAGTGCGTCATGTAAACGCGCCATTCACTTTGTGCACATGGGGGGTTGAAATCTGACCCGGGTCGAACTCAACCCGGGTTGAAACGCTTCATGTAAACACAGCCTAAGTCGGTGTGACTTACAATCGTGTGACTTACGATCGAGTGTGACTTACGATCGAGTGTGACTTACACTCGATCGTAAGTCAGTGTGACTTACGATCGAGTGTGACTTACGATCTGAGAAATATGGTATGCACCACAGATACATGTTTTCACTCCATCTTGGTGTTTTCTTTCCCAGACACCTGTAATCCAGGGTGTCCAGGGTCCAGACTGACGTGTGTTGACGGAACCACATGCCAATGTAAGACAGCGTATTTTACTATTCTACTTGTTAAACATGTGTGTACATATTTTATGTGCGTGTGTGTGTGTTCTACTCTCCCCTGTCTCGGTGGCGGCGTGGCCAAGCATTTGGCAGCTGTACACCAGGTCAGGTGTGTGTGTGTGTGTGTGTGTGTGTGTGTGTGTGTGTGTGTGTGTGTGTGTGTGTGTGTGTGTGTGTGTGTGTGTGTGTGTGTGTGTGTGTGTGTGGGTGGGTGGGTGTCGACGCGTTCTCAGTGCCTCCTCGATCGGCTGTATCTTTGCTCGTTCAAGGAGAGTTGTGTTGGAGATGTGCTCCTGCCATTGTGTTTCCTGGGAATATCCAGCAGGAAGCGAACGCAGCGGTGATGAAAGGCTGCAAGCCGACGAACATCCACGGCCTTAATTGCCCAGGTCTCGCAACATACAGCAGCGTCGACAAGACCACGGCCGAATATACGTGCACCTTCGTCTTGATGGAGAGATCACGATTGGAAAAGACAGATGAGCGCAATGTGCCAAATGCTCGGGAAGCTTTCGCAAAGAGAGCCGAGATCTCAGCAGTCATCTGCCCCAAAAGTGGTGTAAATGCGTCGACACCGTTTGTTAGGCCATGTTGCTGGAATGGATGACTCCCGTATGCCAAAGTGTATCCTCTTCGGCGAACTCGTCATGGGCCCCGGAAGCGGGGATGGAACAATGTTGTGTCCGACATGAAGGAGCGTCAGATAGTGGACTGGTATGACCTCTCCGAGGATCGCAGAGAGTGAAGATCATCATGCAGCACCATTCCTCCGACCGAGCCTGACTAGACTTCGTGTGCACTTGTGGAAAGCGCTATCACCGTTGCCAGGACTTGACTCGCCAGGCCCGATTCCGCTCGTGACTTGAACACTGTTAATCCCTTCGGGATCTGCCATCATCTCCGAATGGGCATAATTTATTGTGTGTGTGTGTGTGTGTGAGAATGTGTGTGCATGCGTGCATGTGTGTGTGTGTGTTTGTTTTCAAAAATATATGTCCCTGCGTGGCAGGTTGACCAGTTGTAGCAATCCACTAGCGCGCGTGTACCTGCGATGGGGTTTTCCCTTGGCCAACATAATAATATGATGCATTCTGTTACCCTGCAAGTCGTTAAGAAGCTGTTTCGGAGCATATGCATTACATTGAAACCTGCCTAAGGTGCCGGCTCAAGGGACCTTACAAATGTGGTCCCTGTGTACAGGTGGTCTTCTTTTCAAGGGTCATTGGGACTGGAAATAACCTCCATTGGTCCTGGTTGTAGTGGTCTCCTGGGACAGGTGGTCGCCTTATCAAAGTGGTCGCCTTGATAGGTTTTGCTATAGTAGTAGTAGTAGTAGTATTCTTTTATTTTCCATCGGAAGCCTCAACAGTGATGAACACAACTCTTAAGAGGGCCGATAACAGGGTAGAGGGGTGTGGGGTGAGGAAAAAAAATAAAATAATAATAATAGGAGATATTTAAACTAAACTAAACTGATACTTGGAACAATAAAGCAGCAGTAAGCAGTAAGCAGTAAACACAGGTATACAATACAAGCGATGCAGATGAATGAGGCCGTTTGCTGAAAAGAAGATCTAAATACTTCTGAAAAGACGCTGCGTCTTTAAGCATGGTCATAATGGGATAGTGCAAGAATTAAAGAGATGTTTTTAAAAACGAATTTAAACTAGGAACGCAGTAAACACAGTTATACAATACAGGCGGTGCAGATCAATGAGGGAGTTTGCTGAAAAGAAGATCAAAATACTTCTGAAAAGACGCTGCGTCTTTTAGCATGGTCTGAAGGTGCTTAGCAAATGTAGTGCGGTGCTGGGTGCGCCACTCCACAGGCAAAGAATTAAAGAACAGGGCAGCACGATTTGAAAAGGAATTGACACCGTCAGTCGTCCGGAATTTAGATATTGCAATAGCAGCATTAAAAGAGCTTCTTGTTGTCCTAGGGCCGGTTGAAACTTGAGGGAAAAGGTCCGTCAGATTTGGGAGAGGGAAAACGACATGATTAACATGGATAAATTTAGCAATGCTACGAATAAGGTAATGTTCAAACGGATCAATCGACAATCTAGCTAACAGCGGCATGACGTCCTCTTGTAGTTTCGAGCCACAAGCAGCGCGTACAGAACGACGATAAACGGACGAGAGTCGCTGTCGGTCCTTGGCGGATAGCTTCATTGCAAAGCAAGAGCAGCAGTATAATAAGTCAGGCAGGATAACCGAGAGGATAAACTGCCGTGTTGCCTTCAAACTTAGTTGCCGAAAACACCGTCGAAGAGCGCCAATTTTCGTGCAAGTCTTCCTAACGATAAAGTCTATGTGACCAGCTATACTTCCAGCTCTTGCTGTTATTGCTCTTTGCTCCTTTCTGTGCTGGCAATCAGAGCTGTTTGACAACCTTGGGGTGTTTTTGGTCGCCACTTCTTGCCCTATCAATACTCTGAATCTATCGTTCTAGTGAAAGCAATCCCCAAAGGGAGAACTGTAAGCATCTTGGCTTGATGAGGCAGTGAGCCAAGTGTGCCCACGTCTGCTCATAAATACAAGCTTACTGTGTGCTCGTGTACTGTCAGTCTGTATCATGGCTGGGCAATTGTTGGCCGCCATAGCTTTGCATCGGCCATACCAAACGCATACTGTAAGACCAGTAATGATTCTAATGATTTAACGATTTGTCCTATCCTGTATCTACCTATCCTTTCACCCATTCCCGGCCCCTATCTGTCGCCTACTGTAGATGTTATGGTGCATACTTCCAACCTGACCAGCCTCTTCATGCAGCATACCTACCAAAAGTTGGGAGCAGATGTGGAGTACTACGACCAGGCGGCAGACGAGTGGTTTGAAACGAAGAAATTCACGTTTCTCTACACTCACTATCCAATCCGCATTCTGATGCAGGTCGGACACCAGGGCACGTCTTTCCGATCGCGGGTCAGTATGTTCCTCCCGGAGCGCTACACAATTTCCCTCACCTCCACCGGCACCCCACCAACAGGTGAGACCCCGTCAGGCTGTACCGTGAAACTTGAGCTTGCCACTCCGATCAAGAGTACATAAACCCCAAGAGTGTGCAACTGCCTGCGCAACCTCTATAGGGTGCTGCGATGACAGACCTTCACTTCACTTTGCATGGTCCAAAACGTTACGCTGGCAAGCAAGGCAAAGTGACCACAAGCGAATTGAACGCAAAGCAGGGTTGCGTACGACCCTGCATCTATCATGCACAGGGTATAAATGTGTGCGGGTTTCATCAGGTGATGTGAAGTTCTGCCGCCCTGGACCCCATGGCTGGAGTTGCACATTATTGGGTGTTATGTACTCTTGCTCGAATTTAGTACTTTATCATCTCGTGAACAGCCTCTTTACAGCCTCTTTAGTGAGAACACAGACTTTCAGGCATTCACCAGATTTTCGACCAGGCTCCGCATCAGAGTGGAAAGGGTTTGTGAAATGGAGAACTTCTAAACGTGTAAGTGGCCGTGCTTGAGTTAACGGACAAGTCAACAATCTGTAGCAATCCCTGTGTGTGAGGTGTCCAGTTTTTCCGGATGCTGAAAACTCAGTCTAACTTAGGATGCGTTCTTATATTCTCTAGCTTCTAGAAGAAGAAGAAAAGAGAAGTCGAAGAAACTGGGATTACTCAAGAACGGGTCTCGAAGAAATCGGAGATATTTTGAACGTGTCAAGCAAAATGAAGCGTCCAAGGGGCCGCGATCTTGAGTGATGACATGTTGTTTGTATGTGTGCGTATGCGGAAAGAGAAATGCGTACACTCATGATGAACACGTGGCTTTTAGTGGTAGTCCGCATGCGCTGATCCCAAACCTCGGGGATCTCCAAGTTTCACCCACCTCTGAAATTTGGAGAGCTTGGAGAGCTTTAAAGAGCCTCCTAAAAGTCGTAGAGGATATAAGAACAGCTCTCGAACTTTTCGGACAGCCTCCAACTTTTCCGAGAGGATTTAACCCTTTCAGGGTCACAGTGCATTTACTACGTTTGGACACTGAAATTCAGTGCATCAGTACAATTGTGGAGATAGCAACAAACAAATTGTCACAACATTTTTGTTTCTCAACGAATTTTCAGAACTTATGGCTTACTGGAAAGCTCCTTTCCTGCTCGTCATCTTTCACGTACGTTCAGAGCATACAGCACCTCAAAGACGCCCTAGTCTCGCCAACAGTGTCCCCGCCAACCGCCAGTTTGGCATCAAGACCACGCTCAACTATTTCCTTCGGTTTAGGGCTCATACTCAACGTAGAACTTCGATTCAAACTGCATCAAGCTCGTAAGATTCAAGCGATTCAAATGATGTACTCATACGTCATGCTGACTTTCAAATCCCCTTGAATGACTTGAAAGTTGCAAAAATATCGCCAGACAGAAAGTATGAAAAATGTTCAAATCGAAATCGCGAGTTCAATTTATCGCCTCTCGATCATTTGTTGAGCTATTGCCACACCGAAAACACCTCTGGAAAGCCCTTCTTTCCAAAACCGTTCCGATGAGCTATAGATGCGATAATCCGTTCCAGAGTTATGGCTGTTTGTACAGTGATCTATCAGTGCGTACGGTACGTGGACTGTACAACAAGTATAGCGCGAGTATACTCGTCATAGCCCAGACGCTATGGGGATGCGATAATCCGTTCCAGAGTTATGGCTGTTTGTACAGTGATCTATCAGTGCGCACGGTACGTGGACTGTACAACAAGTATAGCGCGAGTATACTCGTCATAGCCCAGACGCTATGGGGTCTGCATGATGAGTATACTCGTCATTGCCCAGGCGCGATGGGATCTGCATGACGAGTATACTCGTCATAGCCCAGACGCGATGGGGTCTGCATGACGAGTATACTCGTCATTGCCCAGGCGCGATGGGATCTGCATGACGAGTATACTCGTCATAGCCGAGACGCGATGGGGTCTGCATGACGAGTATACTCGTCATAAACCCGGAAAGGGTTAAGAACGCACCTTTAGTCTCAAGAGAACAATGCATTTTTATTAATGGCTGAACAAGGTTTCTTAGTGGACTAGTAAAATTTTTCATCATAGTTCTTTTAGAAGTGTAATCCAGTGCTGCTCCATTATATCCGATTATGCAAGTCAATGTCATGCCGGGCGCTATGCAGACCAAGGTCAGGGAATATCGAGTTTTGTCCCCGTGCAGGGCGCGAACTGGACTGATGCAATCAGATTTAATTTAAAATAACTCTGATGGAGAGCCAAGGATGATTTTATGGGAAAGAAAAAGGAGCGGGGAACTACAAGTCATCAGTGGTGTTAGTGGACAGCATAGCGTAACTTGTCGTTCCTTGGTCCATTTACTTTCCCATAGCATTTTAAAGCAGGTTAAAAATGAGCACAACCCTGTTCACTGTAGGGATTTCTGTCGCGGTCGGTATTGGCTTTTTGATGTCCACAACATCACTTGCCTAAAACGACCAACTTTGCATTGCAATGGGTGTACCTGAACTTGACATGTGTTGGAGTATAAGTGAGATCATGCAGAGTACAACCTGCGCTGACCGGACGCCCTCGGTGCAGCGGAAACTGTCCTGATATGACAGGATTCCGCTTGATCCAGGGATGCACGTTCGATCAGAAATTGAAAAAAAAAGAAAAAAAACAGAAATTGTCCGATCAAAACAGGATTCCGCTCGGTGCAGGGGCCTTGGGAAGACACGTAATTTTTTTAACAGACCAGTACTATATCATGGCACACAATATCATATTTCAGCACGACGTTGACCCAATGAAACCAACGAAATTTGAATAAAATTACCAAAACACACCCGGATCCTCTGTAAATTCGATATTTTGCTCGGAATTTGCCAGCAATTTCTTTTCGTTGAAAAATTCGATATTTTGCAGGAAGAATTGCCGGCAAATTTGGGCTAGGCCTACTACCGACCTGAGCTGTACGAGTCAGCAAAATGAAAAGAAAGGAAGATTTAACATCAGCAAGTGTGCGGGAGAAACTGTGAGACTATTAACAAATGACAATGGCTGTTACTGAGAGGAGCATCATCATGGCTGATCATGGCTGATCATGGAACACGTGTACGTAAGCTCAGTAGGCACACCTATCTGCACGAGCGGAAACTTGTAGCCACTCATGACGTACCATATTCCCCGAATATAAGTGGCACCTTTTTACACTAAACTTCTTGGACGCAGAAGGGGGTGGCCTTATAATCGAGTATGACATCCTAGCAACGTGACTATTCCGAAACACACGGCCCACAAAAAGGGTAGAGTGACTTATAAAATGTCATGGGAAATATGGTACCGATAATCGTATCCCCAAAATCCGTACGCGATGATAATTCCTCTCATCATGATCTCGTCTTCTTTCCCTACAGGCTACCCTGTGTACACCTGGCCAATGTTCCCGTTTACCGCATACGACGCTAAACGAGCAGAGGTCACCCTGTCTTTGCCGACGGTTAACCCCGCGGAAACACTGCGCGTGGAGTTTGGTCGAGATTACTCCGACAAGCCATCGTCGATCATCACGTCGATCAGCACCACCGCCAGCACCGTAACACTAACAAAAGTCAAAGGAAATGGGACCTTCTATTTCCGCACGTGTCTCGCAGCGAAATGCAGTTGGAAAGTGACCTTCCATATCTCACGTAAGTTATCAGTTTGTGCCAGAGTTCTTTAAGGGAAGGTGAGGGGTAGGAGGAGGCTAGGGGGGGGGTCGGGGTGGGGTGGGAGGCGATGTTCCGAGACCAAATCTATTGTCAACATTCTGCTGAGGGTTGCTTGTGTGTGTAGCATTAAGGGTGCACGCAGCTTCGTTCTACCGAGAGAGAGAGAGAGAGAGAGAGAGAGAGAGAGAGAGAGAGAGAGAGAGAGAGAGAGAGACAGTGACAGAGAGAGAGAGAGACAGTGACAGAGAGAGGGAGACAGAGGAGGCAGAGACAGAGAACCAGAAAGACAGAGGGAGAGGTTAAGAGACAGAGAGAGACACGGAGAGAGACACACAGATACAGACACAGAGAAAGAGCCAGATATAGAGATACAGAGTGAGAGATAGGATTCAATGCTGACTTCACGAGAGCTTCCTTGAGGTTTAGCGGAGTACGTTCATGTACGACATTGACCGGGAACCCCATTAACCCGACCATTATGCTGAATGTCTTCTGTATGCCCAAGTACATTCCATGCTACCACAATGTCGTCTGTGTCAGCTTACGATTTTCTTGGGCTGTGGAAAAAATAATTAAAGAGTAAAACCTCATGCATGACTGTACACTTCCATAACGCTATTTCAGATGGAAGACTGCCTCAGAGATGCCGCTTATAGATGAACAGACCCTAATACCTTCCCCATACATACTGTGTTCACGGACCACCGCTATGGGTACGTCCGTCAATCACTGTTTTTTCTTGCACGCGCATGTATTTCTAGGTCGTATTCTCCAAACGTAGCACTTCTTAGGGTTCCCTGTAAGAAGGCGATGATGCCTGTTGGGAAATCCCTTGTGAAATAAGAATAAAAAGATTACATAAATAAACAGCACCGCACACGGTAGGTATCCTGTCGCAAAAAGTCTGCTTTTGATGATGCTTGCGCTTTCTCGTGTTTTGCTTTCTGCATTTCACAGCCGAGTCCTTGCATAACTGCACGGGAGCAGAATTCCTCGTCTCCGCCAACAGCTTTACATTCGATGCCGGCAGACACTACTGCATAGACCAAGGGAAGGTCATGCTCACGTTTAACACGCTGCGCCTGGTCTCGCAGAACAACAGCTGTTTCCGCGAGAGTGTCATCCGAACTCTCCGCAATAATAGACATGATAAGTTCTGGGTCTCTCAGGTTGGCTTCTATGATAATTATGAGGCGTACGACCCAGTGGCCAATGAAGTGCACTACGACAAGGGAACGAATGCGGTCGTCTGCCACCGAAACAGTGAGTAGTGGATTAGCACTGGCTTGCTCTGATGTTGTCCTTCAGTGTCTAGCTGGCAGCATGCTGTGAGACACACTTTCTGTGTAGATTTTAGGCACCTAAATTCCATTCATTGTGTGACCCGTGCACATACTGCTTGCCATGTTTGAGGCCGGACACGTCCAAGAACAGGTGAATAGAAATTCAGCAAGTGTTGACAAAATTTGAACATGTATGCCATTGCAAAATGTAAGGAGAAACAGATCCCAGACCCAGATTTTGAGTGGTTTTTGTCCTTTTGTCCTTTTGATCCTCAATTCGGTATTGCATGTTCTGTGACGTTGTTTTTGTAACCTTTTTTTCCTGACTTTGTCGTTGCCCTGGGAAAGCCCATGCTGCATTGGTCACGGGCTAACTGTCTTGTTGCAACTGCTGCTCCTGCACAGACTTGGACACGTGTTCGACTTGGACTAATAGACCTTGCTCCCGGGAACAGCTGTGTCGTTCGACCAGCTTCACTACCCAAGTGTGCCATGGTGAGTTTTATTGTGTCAGTGTGTGTAATATGATGGTGTCCATGGTGATGGTAGCAGTGCTAGATCTGGCCTGGGGGGGACGGGGGGTGAGAGGTCTTGAGCAGGTCTTGAGCAGCTGTGGGGATCTCCATATAAAGTCATTGCGTACCGTCAAATATAGAAGGTGGGAGTGATGCGTGGGAGTTCGCTTGAGTAGGGGTCGGGATTCCCATGTAACGGTACACAATTTGTGAACAGGCCCGGAGCCAGCTCTCAAGAGGTGGTATGAATAGGGTTCCATTGTTGTATGAGTGCACTCACTTTACTTACATCGATAGTAGGTTTCTTTTTTCCACGCCGACTTGTTAACATCCACTGGTGCTGATCTGGCTTCTTGTGTTCAGATACGATTATTCAGAGGCCCATCACTAGAATGGAGCGTGGAAAGATTGTAAAATACTCGGTCCACTACGAGCTGTGGAATGGAAACCTCAGATACGGGTCTCGAAATGAAGCAATTAAAAATTGCGAACTAAATCAATTTCGCCCTTCCCACGCTGGCCCCTTCCGAATGGAGGAGTACGCCTCGTATAACCACATCTATCTTGCCGTCAACAAGATGCTCAAGGCGATCGGAGTAGGCATCGACGTGCTCGTCGACACCTTAACTACCACACCTACCCTTAACGGCGTATACCGCACTTTCCGGTACACACCAGAATGGGGCATGACCAACTTGCTCACCAAGCCCGTTCCCACACGAGGCGTTATCATATGCACCTGTAAGTATACTGTGCTTTTACTATCATATACGCACGCACATGCACACACTTGCACATGCACACACACACACACACACACACACACACACACACACACACACACACACACACACACACACACACACACACACACACACACACACACACACACACACACACACACACACACACACACACACACACACACACACACACACACACACACACACACACACACACACACACACACACACACACACACACACACACACACACACACACACACACACACACACACACACACACACACACACACACACACACACACACACACACACACACACACACACACACACACACACACACACACACACACACACACACACACACACACACACACACACACACACACACACACACACACACACACACACACACACACACACACACACACACACACACACACACACACACACACACACACACACACACACACACACACACACACACACACACACACACACACACACACACACACACACACACACACACACACACACACACACACACACACACACACATGCATGCTAGGGAAAGCAATGCCTGGGAAAGCAAGATCAAGGAGTTGTACACAACTCCATACAGAAGAGAAGCATCGCATGTACATCTCTAAACAGCACCACCCCCTATGAATGCTGGATGCAAATCGACCAGAGCTCCAGCACTTCGTGCATATACTACATGCATGGTACGGTGTTTCCTAACGCGCAGTGGCGCGTGCCTTTGGACCTACTTGAGAAGTATTTCCGTCGTGTTATCAGGGCTTTGTACTCTTGCAAAGCGAAACTAATCCACCTTCGAGCGATATTGGGATCTAATGCTTGGTGTTCTCTTCCTTTTCCTCTTCGTCTTTGTGTCATACAGCGCTTCACCGTAGTCCTTAGGCGAGGACAAGGAAACTGATCAGTTCAGCTCAGCTTTTGCTTATATTTCATCCCATAACAATTTTAAACAATACATCCCTGTCAGTTTGCCATTTTTACTCAAGAGAGCTCGGTCAACAATAATGTTTGGCTTGCGTTTTCCAATGACAATTGTTTGAACATGAAGAACAGGGAAATCAGCCGCAAACTCCAGGCTTCATTTGCACTGATGTGCTATTACTCAATGTGCTTAATGTGCTCAATGTGCTTACTCAATTACTTGTGCTTTCAGAACCTTTTGTCATCAACATCTGTGTGCCACCTTGGCCGTTTTTTCCCCTCATTATCCATGCTGCCCTTGTGCTCCTGCGGCTTTTCACCGGGGGGTACTGAAAAAGTACCAACGGTATTTTACGACATGTAGTACGCATACTCTCTGCATTTACCACCCCCGTTTTGATACACGCACTGCTAACCACTCTGAGGCCTGCAAAGAACACAGTCATCTCTCCCACTAATCAAGACTTACACACTGATTTTCGCGCCTTTGGCTTTAACTATTATCCCAGGAATGTGACCGTAAGGGAGCATGCATTAATAAACTTCTTCACAACCAATCAGTTTGGTATGCTTTTGAACAGTTTGTGCAGCCCAAGCTGGGAATGCAGCTAGCACATCAGACTGACAAGTTGTGGATATGATCATAATAGGGAGGTTGAGTCCCACGTAATCCGTGGGTACTTTACGCGTGTGTACCACGTGATACTTAGTGACCCACGTACAGACGTTTTCTGATTCACGATACACCGTGTATGGAGGCTCACCCACATTCCGCCAGAACGTGGGTGAAAATCAGAATGGAACGCATTGTGCAAGCTGGGAGGGTGTTTCCGAAGCACGGTATCAAAATATTGGATGAGCTTCTTATGCCCGGGTAGCTTCGTCTTTGACCAGGTTTGGGCCTTTCGCTTCATGCTTTTGTTTGTTCAGTGTGACTAAACATAACATTGCAACGTGGGTGCCCTTCATCCACTTTACGTGGATCACCCACGTACGCGTTTCCGTTACGTAGGAACTAAACCTCACTAATATCAAGAGTACATTAAAATAATTCTTGATCATAATTATGCATATCTTTCGAAGAAGCTTAGCTTTGAAGTTTTTGTCGATGCCCAGGGGCGTCGCACACGGTACGCCACTACGGTATTGAGCGCACCACTATTTGCACAAGTACCCCTTGACTCAACGAAATGCACTGATCTGGGCTCTAAATTTCCAAGACTTTCGGCTCAGCCATCCCTCCCCCACGAGTAAATTGTACTTCAGATGGCTTAACGTACCATACCAAAAATACCTTCCGACGCGGAGATTATTGATAGGAGCGGCATCGGATTATACCGCGATGACGGCCTAGCTGTGCAGAGAAATGCCTCTGGTGCGGCAGCCGACAGAGTGCGCAAGGATATCACCTCTGCCTTTGCGTCGTTTGGCCTGGGAGTGACCATTGAGGCCAACCTAAAAGTCGTCAACTACCTGGACGTCACGCTTAACCTCCAAAACAGCAACTACCAGCCTTACAGAAAGCCCAATGATAACCCACTCTACCTCAACCACCAATCCAACCACCCGCCTAATATCCTCAGAAACCTACCGAAGGCAGTGGGTAGACGCATCGCCAGCATCTCGGCTGACGAGGCAGTGTTCGACAGTGCTGCCCCCCTCTACAACGACGCACTGCACGCAAATGGGCATGCGCTTAATATAGAGTACAGTAAGTATCGTTTATAAAGTGACCGGATATAATGATATACCGGTTATAGTGATACAACACGTCAAAATCAAAATCAAATCAGAAAAAAATACAGCTAAAATATCACTATAATACACTATTATCGGCTATACCGATATATCGCTTATTGTGATGGACAGCAAACCATATCAAATGTACAGGAAAATATCGCATATAATGATCAAGAGTGATGATCACACATGTCCGTTTCTGGCTGTGCTACCCCTCGCAATGTGCTCCCTTTGTATGCTCTTGTCCGTTTCTGTATGCACATGTCCTTTTCTGGCTGCGCTACCCCTTGCTCCCTTTGTATGGTCTTGTCCTTTTCTGTATCTTTCTGCATGCTCTTGTCCGTTTCTGGCTGTGTTGCCTCTCACGATGATGTTGCCAACTCGTACTCACGTACAGCCACTCATGTCTATTTCTGGCTCTACGCAACTCGTTGGACACCGAGTAGATCTACCTGAGTACGGATCCAGCTCAGGCTTTTTTTTGGAGAACACGCTGAAGAAGCAGCCATGCCACATGATGTATCGAAGTTCTAGTGCATGACAGTCTGTACTCGTACTGCACTGCCATGCACTGCTCTGTGTCATGCACCGGTACACAGTCCGCGGAGCATGCATGCACTTTCAGCATGCTTTTTCCAGCGTGTACGCATCATTTTATGTGCAGTCATGTGCCATGTGTCGGTCAAACATGCAAATCGGCTATAGTGATGCACCGATATAGTGATACATTTTCGAAAATCAAAGGGGCACGTTATATCCGATATTTACTGTACGTCGAGCCAGAGGAGAGGCAAAGGAAGCGCCAGCGAAAGCGCAACATCATCTGGTTCAACCCACCCTTCTCCAAAAGCGTGTCCACAAACGTTGGTGCTGTGTTCCTCCGCCTAGTCACCAAGCATTTTCCCAAGACATCGAGACTCCACACAATATTTAACCGAAACTCGGTCAAGGTGAGCTACTGTTGCTTACCAAACATGGCGTCTTTGATAAGCTCGCACAACCGCAAGCAGATGACAAAGCCCGTAGAACAAAAGCCGTGCAATTGCAGATCGCCGCCAAGTTGCCCGCTGCAAGGAGACTGCCAGGCAGAAGCTACTGTGTACGAGGCAGTGGTGACCACGCAGCACGATACGAGAGGCTACTTCGGATCGACTGCACCCCCGTTCAAGCTTCGCCTGGCAAACCATAAAACATCTATGCGCCTCGCCACTTACAGGAATAGCACAGAGCTATCGAAGCATGTCTGGGGGTTAAAGTCCACAAATGAAGCGTGTGAAATCAGGTGGAGGATCTGCGAGAGGTCCAGGGCTTACAGCAACTTAACCAAGAGATGCCCGCTATGTACAGCAGAGAAGACCTGGATAGCGCTGAGCAACCGAGACTATGCTCTGAACAAGAGGAGCGAGATTGTCTCAAAGTGCCGACACGCCAGCAGATACTGCCTGAAGGACTACGCAGGGGCAGCTATCACCTGAAGCCCCCATATCCACCTAGGGAAATCAACGCTGTCTACACATCCCGTAACTATTATCCCTCATGGCGCTGATTTCCCTAGTGTGTGCTTACGCGTGCACCAACTGGCTTTGCACTAGCCCAAATTGCTTTTTTCTGTGACTGGCACTAATTTTCACTGACCCTGTTCTTGGCTCCTATCATTCTCACCTCACCTCGCCAGGCCCTGTTATAAGACCCCTTGTTCTGGCTAGCCCACTACTTTTTGCCTGCCTGATGATTGCACCCGCTTGTGCATGAAACTCTTGAGTAGCAAAAGTGAAATGATGTTTTCTTGGTAACCATTGTTTTCCCTTGTTTTCCCTCTGTGCTGCGCTGATGAGTTCAAAAAGAACGAAACAGCATGCTGTCCGCAGATTGAGTATATATATAATTATATAAATAGAGATGTAGGCGAACACAATTTATATACACACAACAACAAGGTTGTCAATTTCATAATACTAAAAGCTTTTCACCCATTTTCATCAGTAGTTACATGGGAATGAGCAAGAACGAAAACGAAGCCAGAATTTATACTGGGGGTAGAGAATCAGCAAGAATATTCTTACGCGCCTCAAGTTCACACTACACTACCATAAGAATGTATGGAGCAGTGGAAAAATGCGGGAAACAACACATGAGGGGAATGCAGTACCAGAAAAAACACGTGATAAAGTTGTCAGTTCGGTTGCAGCTTGAACAGCCGTAGCACCTTGATGTGCTTCTTTTGTCGACACAGCTCTGGCCTCAAACTGCGAATGTACAGCGCCTCCAGTGTGAATCTGTGCGCGCTGTTCCGGGCTGGTGTGATCACACTGAAGCTGCTGTTGCGTTCCTGCGGGATGCATTCAGGTTGCGCCTGCAAATGCTTTGTGATGGCGCTAACACTTGTTGCCACACGTTTGTCAGGCGGCTTCTTGTACAGCTTGTTTGGGATATGCTGCTTGATCCTTTCCGAGAATCGCTGACATGTCTCACCAACGTACGCCCGCTCACAGAGACACGCATACTTATAAATAAAATTACTGTTTTCAAGAGTTGGTGAAACATCCTTCGCGATAGACCTGAATGCGGGTCTGGTTGTATAAATTACAATGGGGATACTGTAGGATAGCAGTTCAAAATTGCAGCTTTAATCTTTTTGCGGAAGGCAATGCAATTTTGCCCTTTCCACGGCAATTTTGTGATAATACGCATTGCAGATTCAAGTTGAGCAGAAGCTGTATCTGGGCTAGGTTCAAGAACGCTTGTCATGACTCGCTTGAGTACTTTGAGTGGGTAACCGTTAGAACACAGAATATCCTCTAGCGTAGCAATTTCAGCTGATAATAGTGATGGCGAGCAGATGTTTTTAGCTCTGAAAGTTAATGATCTGATCAAATTGATTTTGTTTCTAGTGTCACAAAACGAGTCCCAGCGGGTGTAACGACCTGTGAACGTCGGCTTTCTTTATACTGTGGTGAGCAATTCTGTGGAAGAATGCTTAATCAACACATCAAGAAACGGCAATTCTCCATTATTCTCCTCCTCCATTGTAAACTGGAGAGCTGGGTGAAGATTATTTAAACGCTCAGGGAATTCCAATGCCAGTTTCCGGTTGTGAAATGCTGCGAATGTGTCATCCACATAACGCCTATAGAATTGGGGCCAATGACTGTCTGGAATTGTGTTCTCAAAATATCCAACAAAGATATTGGCTAGCACGGGGCCCAAGGGTGAACCCATGGCTACTCCGTCCCTCTGTGCGTACATATTGCCATTGAAACTGAACTGCACGTCTGATGTGGCTTTGAAAAGCAGCTTCTTGGCAAGATCTTGGGATATTTGCGGGGCTAATATTTCATCATCATGGTATAGCGACTGTATGCAGATATCTATTGTTTCCTTGAGAGGCACGTTTGTAAAGAGGCTGACGACATCGAAAGAGCACAGGAACAGCGATCCAGAGTTCTCTGCCTGCTGCTGGCCAAATTCCTTTACGTCATCCACGAACTCGAAAGTATCCTTAGTTGCGTGGGCGGAATATTTAATCAGGACTGGCTTTAGTAATTCAGCTAGCCACTTTGCCATTTCGTGTTGGGGAGCATTGATCATGGACAGGATTGGTCGAAGTGGCACGTCTTTCTTATGTATTTTCGGTACGCCATAGAGCACAGGTCGGCACGAGCCAACGGGTCGGATCCGGTCGTAATCTATAGTGAGTATTTTTCCAGCCTTTTTGTATCGCAATAGGTATGCCTGCAAGGCGCGTTCATCCAGGTAAGTGCGGTCATGCGTTTCCGTCGGTCCCAAGAGTTGAAACTTCGATGCATCAGCCAGAATAGCATTCATCTTGTCATTGTAATCACTTCGCTGCATTATCACCACTCCATTCCCTTTGTCCGGCCTGCTGATTATTATATCTTTGTCGTTCTTTATTTTCCTGATGGCTGCCATATGCTTGTCGTTGAGGGGATAATCGGTTTTATCTGCTTTACTGTTACTAAACTCCTCTGCAAGATTCGCTAACGCTGCTTGGCACGTATCCCTCTTGGCATCACTCACTGGTACGCAGCGCTCCAGTTGATCATTTGTTAGTTCGAATTCTGCCTGCACAATCTCCTTGTCCATTCTGGAACTAGGGGGGACTCCAAACTTCAAGCCCCTGCACAGTACGTCTTTTTCAATATTAGTTAGCATAACTCCGGCCAAGTTGAGTAGGTGGGAGTGTTTCAATTCGTTTGAGCCCTTCTCATAGCGCACCTCCCTCCTGAGTGCATCTTCCAACTTACTTTTGATCCGGCATTGTAATCTTGAGGAGGTCTGGTTGATGAGCTTCGCGAACCTGAAGCGGTCCAGCACGCTGAGGCTCCGATTGACTTCGTGAAGAACACGACGGTACTCAAGGAGAAAATGTTCCAAGTCAGCGGTTGTCCTCTCCAGTTCGTCCTTGATAAAGGCGCGTTCGATTCTCCATGGCTTCTTGGCCTTGACTCTCTGCACCCGCTTCTTGATCGAGCGGGGCGCAACGCCGCACGTAAGGCAGTTCCGTAAAAAGTCTGCATTCTCACGACTACGGATGATCCGGCCTTTGCACTTTAAAACATAATTCAGGTCCTGAATTAGTCGGTGGTCCAGTCGCCGTTTTAAATATTTAAATAGAGATGTAGGCGAACAAAATTTATATACACACAACAACAAGGTTGTCAGTTTCATAATACCAAAAGCTTTTCACCCATTTTCATCAGTGGTTACATGGGAATGAGCAAGAACGAAAACGAAGCCAGAATTTATACTGGGGGTAGAGAATCAGCAAGAATATTCTTACGCGCCTCAAGTTCACACTACACTACCATAAGAATGTATGGAGCAGTGGAAAAATGCGGGAAACAACACATGAGGGGAATGCATTTCCAGAACAAACACGTGATAAAGTTGTCAGTCCGGTTGCAGCTTGAACAGCCGTAGCACCTTGATGTGCTTCTTTTGTCGACACAGTTCTGGCCTCAAACTGCGAATGTACAGCGCCTCCAGTGTGAATCGGTGTGCGCTGTTTCGGGCTGGTGTGATCACACTGAAGCTGCTGTTGCGTTCCTGTGGGAAGCATTCGGGCTGCGCCTGCAAATGCTTTGTGATGGCGCTATAACTTGTTGCCACACGTTTGTCAGGCGGCTTCTTGTACAGCTTGTCTGGGATATGCTGCTTGATCCTTTCCGAGAATCGCTGACATGTCTCACCAACGTACGTCCGCTCACAGCGACACGCATACTTATAAATAAAATTACTATTTTCAAGAGTTGGTGAAACATCCTTCGCGATAGACCTGAATGCGGGTCTGGTTGTATAAATTACAATGGGGGATACTGTAGGATAGCAGTTCAAAATTGCAGCTTTAATCTTTTTGCGGAAGGCAATGCAATTTTGCCCTTTCCACGGCAATTTTGTGATAATACGCGTTGCAGGTTCAAGTTGTGCAGAAGCTGTATCTGGGCTAGGTTCAAGAACGTTTGTCATGACTCGCTTGAGTACTTTGAGTGGGTAACCGTTAGAACACAGAATATCCTCTAGCTTAGCAATTTCAGCTGATAATAGTGATGGTGAGCAGATGGTTTTAGCTCTAAAAGTTAATGATCTGATCAAATTGATTTTGTTTCTAGTGTCACAAAACGAGTCCCAGCGGGTGTAAAGACCTGTGAACGTCGGCTTTCTATATATTGTGGTGAGCAATTCTTTGGAAGGATGCTTAATCAATACATCAAGAAACGGCAATTCTCCATTATTCTCCTCCTCCATTGTAAACTGGAGAGCTGGGTGAAGATTATTTAAACGCTCAGAGAATTCCAATGCCAGTTTCAGGTTGTGAAATGCTGCGAATGTGTCATCCACATAACGCCTATAGAATTGGGGCCAATGACTGTCTGGAATTGTGTTCTCAAAATATCCAACAAAGATATTGGCTAGCACGGGGCCCAAGGGTGAACCCATGGCTACTCCGTCCCTCTGTGCGTACATATTGCCGTTGAAACTGAACTGCACGTCTGATGTGGCTTTGAAAAGCAGCTTCTTGAAAAGATTTTGGGGTATTTGCGGGGCTGATATTTCATCATCATGGTATTGCGACTGTATGCAGATATCTATTGTTTCCTTGAGAGGCACGTTTGTAAAGAGGCTGACTACTTCCTCCGTATACAAAAACTTCGTGACTTTTTTGAACGGTGTTTTTGAGCAAGAACCTGCTCCACGAACGGCGCCAAAGGCTGTCATCGACAACCCACGTCCATGTCGAGGTGAGTTTGGTTGATCCCGAACAGATTCTCCACGTACGCCATGCGTGTGAGGACGTTGCCGATAGAAACTCAAGAGTCAAATGAACAAAAACTAACACTTACTTGCTCGAAACTGACACAGTGCACTAGTGACGAAGTGTAGCTCGTGGCTGGAACACGGAGTCACGCGGCACTCGCTGCCCTGAAACTGGCCTGGCTCGTTTTCTGGTACTTGCGGTGCGCGGTCCCATAACTACGCAGCGTGAGAACATCGATTTGTTTCGGTCGCACGGCAAGGTGAAACATTTCAGTCGTCGTGCAACCAGCGCAGACTCAGGATCAGAATGTCGATGGCCTGGCTTTCTTCGCCTCTCTCCAGTCGGGCGCCTCCTTTGTCGCCAAGGGGAATCGCAGGGACCTCCTCGAAGCCATTGTAGAATGCTTCGGAGGATTATCCTGGCGAGAAAATGCGAAGCGTGTGGATGTGCTTGTACGACTCGTTTCACGGCATAACGGAGGTTGCGGGTTGGAACAACTGAATATAGTTGACACCGATTCGTACACAGCTCTAGAGATGAAGAGGACGTTGCCAATGTCCAGCGTCGGATCATCACTGCAGGTGACAAGAATCTGAACGGAATGCGAGCGGAAGCAGCGACTGTTGACGATGCGGAGTCAGCGTCGTCAGGTGACAATGACATGAGCGACGAAGACTCTGAAAAAACTCAATCTCATTCGTCTGAATTGCTTTTTTCTTTGTATATAGCTTGTAAACAGGTTAGACAATGCCACGAGTGTTATTCCAAGTCAAACGAAACAATTTCAGAGCTGTGCGCAGCTTCCAAAAAAAGTCACGAAGTTTTTGTATACGGAGGAAGTACATCGAAAGAGCACAGGAACAGCGATCCAGAGTTCTCTGCCTGCTGCTGGCCAAATTCCCGTACATCATCCACGAACTCGAATGTATCCTTAGTTGCGTGGGCGGAATATTTTTTCAGGACTGGTTTTAGTAATTCAGCTTACCACTTGGCCATTTCGTGTTGGGGAGCATTGATCATGGACAGGATTGGTCGAAGTGGCACGTCTTTCTTATGTATTTTCGGTACGCCATAGAGCACAGGGCGGCACGAGCCAACGGGTCGGATCCGGTCGTAATCTATATTGAGTATTTTTCCAGCCTTTTTGCATCGCAATAGGTATGCCTGCAAGGCGCGTTCATCCAGGTAAGTGCGGTCATGCGTTTCCGTCGGTCCCAGGAGTTGCAACTTCGATGCATCCGCCAGAATAGCATTCATCTTGTCAATGTAATCACTTCGCTGCATTATCACCACTCCATTCCCTTTGTCCGGCCTGCTGATTATTATATCTTTGTCATTCTTTATTTTCCTGATGGCTGCCATATGCTTGTCGTTGAGGGGATAATCGGTTTTATCTGCTTTACTGTTACTAAACTCTTCTGCAAGATTCGCCAACGCTGCTTGACACGTATCCCTCTTGGCATCACTCACTGGTATGCAGCGCTCCAATTGATCATTTGTTAGTTCAAATTCTGCCTGCACAATCTCCTTGTCCATTCTGGAGCTAGAGGGGACTCCAAACTTCAAGCCCCTGCACAGTACGTCTTTTTCAATATTAGTTAGCATAACTCCGGCCAAGTTGAGTAGGTGGGAGTGTTTTAATTCCAAAGTACTCAAGCGAGTCATGACAAGCGTTCTTGAACCTAGCCCAGATACAGCTTCTGCACAACTTGAACCTGCAACGCGTATTATCACAAAATTGCCGTGGAAAGGGCAAAATTGCATTGCCTTCCGCAAAAAGATTAAAGCTGCAATTTTGAACTGCTATCCTACAGTATCCCCCATTGTAATTTATACAACCAGACCCGCATTCAGGTCTATAGCGAAGGATGTTTCACCAACTCTTGAAAATAGTAATTTTATTTATAAGTATGCGTGTCGCTGTGAGCGGACGTACGTTGGTGAGACATGTCAGCGATTCTCGGAAAGGATCAAGCAGCATATCCCAGACAAGCTGTACAAGAAGCCGCCTGACAAACGTGTGGCAACAAGTGATAGCGCCATCACAAAGCATTTGCAGGCGCAGCCTGAATGCATCCCACAGGAACGCAACAGCAGCTTCAGTGTGATCACACCAGCCCGAAACAGCGCGCACCGATTCACACTGGAGGCGCTGTACATTCGCAGTTTGAGGCCAGAACTGTGTCGACAAAAGAAGCACATCAAGGTGCTACGGCTGTTCAAGCTGCAACCGGACTGACAACTTTATCACGTGTTTGTTCTGGTACTGCATTCCCCTCATGTGTTGTTTCCCGCATTTTTCCACTGCTCCATACATTCTTATTGTAGTGTAGTGTGAACTTGAGGCGCGTAAGAATATTCTTGCTGATTCTCTACCCCCAGTATAAATTCTGGCTTCGTTTTCGTTCTTGCTCATTCCCATGTAACCACTGATGAAAATGGGTGAAAAGCTTTTGGTATTATGAAACTGACAACCTTGTTGTTGTGTGTATAGATATGACAACCTTGTTGTTGTGTGTATATAAATTTTGTTCGCCTACATCTCTATTTAAATATTTAAAACGGCGACTGGACCACCGACTAATTCAGGACCTGAATTATGTTTTAAAGTGCAAAGGCCGGATCATCCGTAGTCGTGAGAATGCAGACTTTTTACGGAACTGCCTTAGGTGCGGCGTTGCGCCCCGCTCGATCAAGAAGCGGGTGCAGAGAGTCAAGGCCAAGAAGCCATGGAGAATCGAACGCGCCTTTATCAAGGACGAACTGGAGAGGACAACCGCTGACTTGGAACATTTTCTCCTTGAGTACCGTCGTGTTCTTCACGAAGTCAATCGGAGTCTCAGCGTGCTGGACCGCTTCAGATTCGCGAAGCTCATCAACCAGACCTCCTCAAGATTACAATGCCGGATCAAAAGTAAGTTGGAAGATGCACTCAGGAGGGAGGTGCGCTATGAGAAGGGCTCAAGCGAATTGAAACACTCCCACCTACTCAACTTGGCCGGAGTTATGCTAACTAATATTGAAAAAGACGTACTGTGCAGGGGCTTGAAGTTTGGAGTCCCCCCTAGTTCCAGAATGGACAAGGAGATTGTGCAGGCAGAATTCGAACTAACAAATGATCAACTGGAGCGCTGCGTACCAGTGAGTGATGCCTAGAGGGATACGTGCCAAGCAGCGTTGGCGAATCTTGCAGAGGAGTTTAGTAACAGTAAAGCAGATAAAACCGATTATCCCCTCAACGGCAAGCATATGGCAGCCATCAGGAAAATAAAGAACGACAAAGATATAATAATCAGCAGGCCGGACAAAGGGAATGGAGTGGTGATAATGCAGCGAAGTGATTACAATGACAAGATGAATGCGATTCTGGCTGATGCATCGAAGTTTCAACTCTTGGGACCGACGGAAACGCATGACCGCACTTACCTGGATGAACGCGCCTTGCAGGCATACCTATTGCGATACAAAAAGGCTGGAAAAATACTCAATATAGATTACGACCGGATCCGACCCGTTGGCTCGTGCCGACCTGTGCTCTATGGCGTACCGAAAATACATAAGAAAGACGTGCCACTTAGACCAATCCTGTCCATGATCAATGCTCCCCAACACGACATGGCCAAGTGGCTAGCTGAATTACTAAAGCCAGTCCTGATTAAATATTCCACCCACGCAACTAAGGATACTTTCGAGTTCGTGGATGACGTAAAGGAATTTGGCCAGCAGCAGGCAGAGAACTCTGGATCGCTGTTCCTGTGCTCTTTCGATGTAGTCAGCCTCTTTACAAACGTGCCTCTCAAGGAAACAATAGATATCTGCATACAGTCGCTATACCATGATGATGAAATATCAGCCCCGCAAATACCCCAAGATCTTTTCAAGAAGCTGCTTTTCAAAGCCACATCAGACGTGCAGTTCAGTTTCAACGGCAATATGTACGCACAGAGGGACGGAGTAGCCATGGGTTCACCCTTGGGCCCCGTGCTAGCCAATATCTTCGTTGGATATTTTGAGAACACAATTCCAGACAGTCATTGGCCCCAATTCTATAGGCGTTATGTGGATGACACATTCGCAGCATTTCACAACCGGAAACTGGCATTGGAATTCTCTGAGCGTTTAAATAATCTTCACCCAGCTCTCCAGTTTACAATGGAGGAGGAGAATAATGGAGAATTGCCGTTTCTTGATGTATTGATTAAGCATTCTTCCACTGAATTGCTCACCACAGTATATAGAAAGCCGACGTTCACAGGTCTTTACACCCGCTGGGACTCGTTTTGTGACACTAGAAACAAAATCAATTTGATCAGATCATTAACTTTTAGAGCTAAAACCATCTGCTCACCATCACTATTATCAGCTGAGATTGCTAAGCTAGAGGATATTCTGTGTTCTAACGGTTACCCACTCAAAGTACTCAAGCGAGTCATGACAAGCGTTCTTGAACCTAGCCCAGATACAGCTTCTGCTCAACTTGAACCTGCAACGCGTATTATCACAAAATTGCCGTGGAAAGGGCAAAATTGCATTGCCTTCCGCAAAAAGATTAAAGCTGCAATTTTGAACTGCTATCCTACAGTATCCCCCATTGTAATTTATACAACCAGACCCGCATTCAGGTCTATCGCGAAGGATGTTTCACCAACTCTTGAAAATAGTAATTTTATTTATAAGTATGCGTGTCGCTGTGAGCGGACGTACGTTGGTGAGACATGTCAGCGATTCTCGGAAAGGATCAAGCAGCATATCCCAGACAAGCTGTACAAGAAGCCGCCTGACAAACGTGTGGCAACAAGTGATATCGCCATCACAAAGCATTTGCAGGCGCATACTGAATGCATCCCGCAGGAACGCAACAGCAGCTTCAGTGTGATCACACCAGCCCGGAACAGCGCGCACAGATTCACACTGGAGGCGCTGTACATTCGCAGTTTGAGGCCAGAGCTGTGTCGACAAAAGAAGCACATCAAGGTGCTACGGCTGTTCAAGCTGCAACCGGACTGACAACTTTATCACGTGTTTGTTCTGGTACTGCATTCCCCTCATGTGTTGTTTCCCGCATTTTTCCACTGCTCCATACATTCTTATGGTAGTGTGGTGTGAACTTGAGGCGCGTAAGAATATTCTTGCTGATTCTCTACCCCCAGTATAAATTCTGGCTTCGTTTTCGTTCTTGCTCATTCCCATGTAACTACTGATGAAAATGGGTGAAAAGCTTTTAGTATTATGAAATTGACAACCTTGTTGTTGTGTGTATATAAATTTTGTTCGCCTACATCTCTATTTAGATATATATATATATACTCAATCTGCGGACAGCATGCTGTTTCGTTCTTTTTGAACTCATCAGCGCAGCACAGAGAAAATGAGGCCGAACCTGATAGCAATGGAAATAAAAATTTCCAATCAGGCTCGAACGTACCTTGCCAGAGTGCTCAAACTGACAAGTCAGTGAGCTCTGCATAACGCAAACAGCAAAGGCACTACCCCACGCAAGAGTGCTCAACTGCTACAAGAGCAGGAGCGAAATATATATATATATATATACTCAATCTGCGGACAGCATGCTGTTTCGTTCTTTTTGAACTCATCAGCGCAGCACAGAGAAAATGAGGCCGAACCTGATAGCAATGGAAATAAAAATTTCCAATCAGGCCCGAACGTACCTTGCCAGAGTGCTCAAACTGACAAGTCAGTGAGCTCTGCATAACGCAATCAGCAAAGGCACTACCCGACGCAAGGGTGCTCAACTGCTACAAGAGCAAGAGCGAAATACTCAATCTGCGGACAGCATGCTGTTTCGTTCTTTTTGAACTCATCAGCGCAGCACAGAGAAAATGAGGCCGAACCTGATAGCAATGGAAATAAAAATTTCCAATCAGGCCCGAACGTACCTTGCCAGAGTGCTCAAACTGACAAGTCATTGAACTCTGCATAACGCAAACAGCAAAGGCACTACCCCACGCAAGAGTGCTCAACTGCTACAAGAGCAGGAGCGAAATATATGTAGGACTCAGTATAGAGTCCATGCACTATATGATGTCCAGCACCCTATATAGAGTCCATTGGTCCAAAATCCACTATACAGAGTCCAGGAGTCCACTCAGTTTTGATCAGCTTCATCCTGCCGCGCAATCCCCTATAAGGAGTACACTTTTTCTACAAGTCCCCTATTCACAGTCCAGGAGTCCAGTTTATCCAGTCACGCCGTCCTGTGTGTTGTGCCCGAAAGAGAACAAACACATTTTCAGTTTTGCTTGCCTCGTGGCAGCGCATTCCTTTCTTCACTTCAGCCATGGCTGCCAGTTCTGCTGTGCAGTTGCTGACAGTAATCTGTCTCGAGGTAACCAAGGAGGATAAGGAGACGTTCAAAATCAAATCTGGAAAGCGCCTTGTGGTTCTCTGAAGACGTTTCATCAGTGCGCGGGATGAAAGCAGAAATTGCAGAACGAGAAAAAGTTCAGCACAGTTCAAATCTGACGAGTCAGGTACACTGACACTCTCTTTCGTTCGACGCCACAAGGATCCCCTGT